CCCCCCCCGGGCACAGTGTGGGCACAAACAGGATGGGGGGGGGGGCTGAGAGGGGACATGGAGGTACCCCAATACCGGGAAATGGCCTTCACACGCAAGGAGGAGGAAGAGGAGGAGGGCGAGGGCCTGGCTCAATGCATTTGCAGCGCCCTTGCGCCGGGGTCCTTCTCAGCACCGACGTCCCCAGGCCAGCAGCCCATGGCTCTCGGGGGGCTGTGGGGGCCACCAGGCGTTGTCCCAGCTGTACCAGCGGGAAATCCCCCACCCTAAACCGCAAGCACCGGCGCGGCAGCGGGCGGGAGGTGCGGCCGCAGGAAGGTGATGCAAGAGCGCATCGGCAGTGAACGCCCGTTGCCCCACCACCTCCGCCTCCCCGCCGGCGGGACCGTGACCCCCGCCCCATGCTGGATTCACTCCATCCCTTCTCAAAAATCTCCCAGCCATGGGGGGCTGGAAGAGGCTCCCGGTTCCTGCCGGCCTCGGATGGGCTGTGGGAAAGCACGCACAGAAAATTGGGTTCAGGTGCGCAGGAGCGGCGGTGGCGGAGGGATGAGCATCCCCTGGGATGGGTGCAGGGCACCCATGGGTGGCTGGGGAGCGTTGCCTCTCCGAGAGCATCCCTGTCCCATCCCCGGCACGGCTGGGCCTTCGGGGTTGTGCCGGGGCAAGGCTGCACCGGGGGCGGTTGCAAAGCGCAGGGCGAAAACGTTGCGGCCCCGGGGAGGCTGTGCTGGGGGGAGGCTCTCAAAGATGGGTGGGCACCGAGCTGTGCCACTTCCAGCCCGGGCTGCCTTTGCCATTGCAGGGTTTCCCACGCCCCCCGAAGCAGGTTTCAGCCGGGGAAGAGCAGGAGCCCCCCCAGCTCCAGACCCCAGCTGGTGCCATCCTTCCGGAGACGGTGTCACCCTGGTCCCCGCTACCCCAAGAAGCCCCCCCAAGGCAAGCCCGTGCCATCCAGTCCCACGTTCGGCCAAGCCCTTGGGTTCGCTCGCAGGGAAATCCCCGGCGCATCCGCATGCGCCCCTGGGGATGGGCCCCGGCTCCGCCGGCACGGAGCAGCGGAGGACGGAGGAATCCTGGAGGACGGACCCCGCTCGGGTTCCTATCGCCGCGGCGAAGGGACGGGCCATCATTTATTGATAAAACGATTGCACGGGAAGGGGCAGCGCTGGGTGCAGGACGCAGAGAGCCAAAGAAAAAGCAAACCAAGAGGCAGTTTATAATCAATGACTTTTATCTTTTGAAAATGGAAGCAAATATTTGGACAGATACTATGGCCGCTCTATAAGAGCGCATCTTTCAGGGCTTCGCTGGTTCTCTTCTGGGATATCACGGCTACAAAAAGCTTCAGGCACTGACTCCGTTTGAGCCTGGCTAGGCATCAGTTCATTTAAATAAAATACAGGCAATAAACGAAAAACCAGGGCGGCCTTTCCTCCGCCCGCCTCGGACCGTCTACCATGCACCCACCTCCTCTGGGCATTTCAATCCAGCGTCTCAGAAAACTTATTTCCCTCCAATTAGAAAAAAAAAACAACCCCACAAAAGGTCCCCAAGCAGACGCCCCTGAAGCCACACGTACAAACCAACACAGAGATCACCATTTGGGGGAGCATCACTTCGGGGTTTGTTTTCCAAAAAAAAAAAAAAAAGAAAAAAAAAAGAAGGAAAAAAACCCCCTGCACATCACCTCAGCCATTTACTGCGGTACAAAAACGTCACCAAACATTCAAATAACCCGGAGCTGTGAATCCAGCATCAGTGGTCAGGGACACGGGGCAGGGGACACTTGTACCTCCCTGCTGTGCTCGCCACTTAAAACAAATAAAATCCACTTTTACGAAGCTTCCACGCTAGGCAACTGGAACACGTCCTCTGTCTCGTCACGGCCCCTTCGCGCGCCTCTCCAGCTACGTCGCCTGGCCGTCGCGGGTTCGCCTTCACGCACACAGACATCTCTCCAGAACAGAGAATTCTTAATCTGGAAGTTCTGAACATGCAAACACTGGAAAAACTGGAGGATTTGAGGATTTCTAGCTAACCTAACAGGAAAAATAACAATAAAAAAAAAAAAAAAAAAACCCAAAACCCACCCCGCACAAGCATGGAAGGTTCTCCCAGCCAGTATCCGAGAAAGTTTGTAGGCCCCCAGCCGGGACAGGTATCGAGGGTCCTCAGCCGACCCCCGTAGTCTTTGCCCACCTTTGGATTCGACAGGGGGTGCCGTTTCCCTGGCACTGCAGGGACGGGGTGGGCAGCACCAATCCAGCCTGGCCCAGCTTGCCAGGGCGGCACGGATGCGGTTCACAGCCCAGGGACGCAGCCTGCGAGCGGGGACCCGTGCCAGCCCCGTCCCCAGCCCCGACAGAGGCAGCCCCTCTCGCGGGGGAGAGCCCCCCTGAGCAGAGCTTGGCTGAGCTGAGGCATCCAAGAAACGCCACAAGGAGCTGGCGAGCCCGGCGGGGTCACGGGGTCTCTCCCCATAGGATCTCAAAGGACCACGTGAGAAACCAGTTCTCCAAACTGGGGTTCCCTCCCACTCCGGAGGCCTGGGAGTGCAGGGAGTCTGGGGACAGAGGTCACTCGGCTGATCTGGGAACAATTTCCTGCAAAGTTTTAGGGCAGGGTGGGGCGGTGAGGCAGGAATGATGGAGAAGGGGAAAATAAAAAATTATAAAAAATAGCAGAGGCATTTTGTTTCCGGAGACCCGTCATGATAAAGTCACCTATGGACTGCTAATGCTGCTGTGGAAGCAGAGCCTAAACTTCTAACGTCAGCACTAAAGTGGGGGGAAGAGAATTGCAAGCTCACAGGTTTGGAAAAGCGTCTTCAAGTCGATGAGCCAAGGAGCGCGGCGGGGCAGAAACAAGTATTTACAGCAAGACAGAGCTGAAACGGACACCGCGGAGGACCTGGTGACTGCCCCCGTCCCACGGCTCCCCTTAAACCTTGTACCCCGTGGGTAAACGTGAAAACGTTTCCTGCAGGGAAGTTTTTATCTCAAAATAAAACCCAAAGAAGTGGCAAATCAAACAGACCCTTTCGGCCACGGCGAGAGGAATCCAAACCCTGGGACTATTTCAAAAGGGCAACCTGATGACCTTAAAGGTCCTTCCCAAGCTAAACGATTCCATGATTCTATGCCGCTCGCCTAAAGGTTGCGGGGTGTAAAAGGCATTTTGTGGGACGAATCACCTCATCCAGAACTCTGTTGTCGTCTTTTTTTTTTCTTTAAACTGTCAGGGAATGGCGATGGGGAGAGGTTAGGGAGGCAGGAAAGGCAGCTCGGACGATCTTTGAGGGGTCTCAGCAGCAGCCTTGGTCACACCGCAAAGGAAACCGATCTGATTGTTCGAAATTGAAGATTTATACAAAATAGCTTCGGTTTTGTTCTCTGAACAGTATAAACACCCACCATGCGCGCGCGCGCACACACGCGGTGCTGTCCCTTTAAACGTAAAACACAAATACTGCAAATTGGCAAATAAGAAAAATAAAAGCAACTTTTTTTTTTTTTTTTTTTGGCAACTTTAAAAAAAATGGTTAAGAACAATGTGGCATTGGTCCCTACATCTAGAAAAAAGATATTCGGGCACAACATCGAAAATCAAATGGATTTGTTTTTAAGAATTCATAACATCTGGAAAAAAAAAAAAAAAAAGACTGTAAAAGTAGCACTTAATTCTCTTCGACTTGTTTGACACAGTCACATAATTCATTAGAACATCAGGAAAAAAAAAAAATCTTTCACTAAAAAGCTTGGCTTTTAATCATCGGCTCTCGTTGAGGTGAATTTGGGAGAACAGGAAAGCTCGTACTGGAATGCTGCACGCTGCTGCTTGCCGAACTGGGGAACTGGAATGTGCCTGGGCTGGCGGCGGGGCCAGCGCCGCTCGCCCCCGCTCAGTCCGCGATCTTTGCCATCTGCTGCTCCAGCTTGGAAATGCGCTCGTCTTGGTTGGTGATCGTGTCTTTTATAGATTTCAGCTCTTTCAAAATCTCATCCAATTTGGCTTCGTTTTGCTGGAAGACAAGACAAGACACGGACTCGTCACAGGAGATGGCAGGACATGCTCTGCGCACGGGGGTTTCCAAAGCAAGGGGCTGCTCGGGGCGGGGGGGGGCGGAATTCCTGCGAGGGAATTGCGTGCGGGGCGAGTACGCACGGCACGGCTGGCACAGGCACTGCGGCACTTGTGCTGCTCAGGGCAGGGACCAGCATCTCCAGAGGCAGCGACGCAAGCTTTTTGGGCCCCTCACTACCAGAAGGAGGTTGCATTGCTGGAGCATGTCCAGAGGAGAGCAACCAAGCTGGTGAGGGGTCTGGAGCACAAGTCATACGAGGAACGGCTGAGGGAACTGGGGTTGTTTAGTCTGGAGAAGAGGAGGCTGAGGGGAGACCTGATCGCCCTCTACAGCTACCTGAAAGGAGGCTGTAGTGAGGAGGGGGTCGGCCTCTTCTCCCTGGTAACAGATGATAGGACGAGGGGGAATGGTTTGAAGCTGCGCCAGGGCAGGTTTAGGTTAGATATTAGGAAAAACTTCTTCACTGAAAGGGTTGTCAGGCTCTGGAATGGGCTGCCCAGGGAGGTGGTAGAGTCCCCATCCTTGGAGGTATTTAAAAGAAGGAGAGATGAGGTGCTTAGGGACAGGGTTTAGTGGTGGGATGGCAGGGATAGGTTAAAGGTTGGACTCGATGATCTTAAAGGTCTTTTCCAACCAAAGCGATTCTACGATTCTATGATTCTAAGGACATACTGGGCCAGTATCTGCTCTTTAACAGCATTTAGGGACCTACTTGACTGACGGCTGTCACGGCCACATCTCTGCGCATTACTATACCACGCGTTAGCTACAGCCTCTGATTACAAACCTCTTCTGGACCTGCGCGGTCCAAGATGCGTTTGTCCCACTGTCTGTGCTGGGTTTTACACAGAAAAGAGAAGCACAGAAGCTGTCCCAGGCAGGGTGGCTGCACCAACAAGCCAGGCTTTCCTGTCACAATTCCAAGTCATCTTCCACAGCTACAGAAACCTCACCAGGAACGCCACAGCTCAAGTACCACCTCAACTCCAGGTCACCCCCCAGCACCAAAGTCCCGGGGCACCTGAGTGTCCACACGTGCTTGAGCTTTGTTACAGCTATTTCTGAAGATGCAGCACCCAGGTAATCGCATCTCAGGCCACCATCCCCAAAAGCTTGTGGATTTTACTCACAGTGTTTGAGGCATCAGCTGCTTTCTTTGGAGCATTTATGAGATCACTTTTCTTGTTCGCGGCAGGCTTGTTGTCCAGTATGTTCTTCTTGACCACCTTCAGATCCCTGTTCTTGCCTGGAATGTACCCATGCTTCAAGGAGATGAGAAGGGGATCGGCGTTCTTCCCCTCAAACCACTCCTCTGCTTCCAGAGCTGCTTCTGGGCCAGCTGTATCAGGGTACAGGTCATCCTGGAAGAGGTCCGACTGCAAGCCAGAAGAGATGAATTGGTCAAGTGCTTTTGGGGCGCAAGCTGACTTCAAACCATATAACCAGTATGGAGTAACCAGCTCACCTTTCGAGGAACCGTCATGATGATGGGCTCACACTTCCTCTCGTGAAGCTTGAAGAACCTTTCAATGAAAGAGAAAAGGTGACACTTAGACATGAGGACAGCCAATGTGCCCGTGCTAAGGAGGCCTTGGTTCTGCCACTCATGCAGAGCAGCGTACCGGGAGACAGCGGCGATGGGAAATGAGCAACCCTAAGGAGTCACAGCCAGGCTGTGCTAGGATTTGCAGGGCCCTGCAAAGGCTGGAGGAAACCACCTGGGTGTGTGCAGGGCTCCCCTCTTGGGTACCGGGTGACTTCAGAGGGTCACGCTTGGCCAGGAGGGGCTGTCAGCGAGGCACAGCCCACTGCTCGGACAGCACCACACCGCTAATTTACAGGTACGCACTAGCCAGCCTTCTGCTCACCGCTCACGCGTGTCTCCACACGCCTGTCACCCCTTGCAGTCCTGCTTTGGGCCAGTGCCACAAACTCCATCATCCTCAGCCTGGCCACCAGGCACTGCTGCCGAAATATTCACGTGCTTCAGGCAAGTGCAGGCTCTGCTCCCTTTCAGGGGCTCCTGCTTTCATTAATAATCAGAGGAGCATCAAAAGGCTTTCAGGGGCTACATCCAGCCCGTTCCCTACCAGCGGTGACACAAACCTGCTTTCCTGATATGCTTTCTTCCTTTGCCGTGTTTTCTGAATCACAGCTGCACTCTGGTCACTGCATTGCTGCTTTAATTACTCTCTAAATTCCTGAAACCAGCTTCCACCCTGCTTGCTGCGTACAAGCTGCGGGAGACTGATACCAGACTTAGGCACCAAAAGGTTTATCATCAATACGTTGACAGCGTAGGCTGTAACCGACCTGATGCGAAGTTTCCTGCAGACGATGTGTTCTGGTAGGTATCACTCATTCATTTATAACAGCCTCAGCCTAAGTCCCAGCGTATTTTGAGGTTACATCATGTTATGCCCGGCCCAAGTAATCGCTTCATGTCACAGGTCCCAACAAACACTACAGAAGCAGCAGCGTGGCAGAGAGGTCTTTCCAACAGTGGGGTCCTACACCCAGCAGCGCTCGGTTTGCCAGCAGGGAGCACACACAAGGGTTTTACAGAGGGCTCCCGGCCCCTTCCCCTCCTGCCGTACTCCCTCCTGCAGGGAGCTGGCTGTCGTGCTTTGCAGGAATGGGGCTTGCGCTGTCCAGGTCCAGCAGCAGGACGTTCTGTTTCTGAACGGCTGAGCTCACGACGGGGTGGCTTGCTAAGATGCCACCACCCACCCTGACAGCCCCTCTCCTTACCTGGCAATCTCACACTTGTTCACGTCGAGGCCCCTCTTTGGCATGAACCCCATGCCCCTCTGCGGCTCTTTGCTGCTGAAGGTGTTGAGGTAGTGAACATAGGGGGATTCATCCGTGATCTCAAAGTAGCGAATGCTGCTGTCACCCTGCGAGAAATGAAAGGGGGGACCACTCCAGAGGCCGGAGGGGCCAGCGCTCCCCGTGCCCGCACGCCTGCTCCCTGCTAGGCTGGGCAGCCATCGGCCTCACCCGGCAGCCTGTCCCTCCAGGCACGCCGCCACAGAGCAATGCACAGGTTATAGCTATTTATTTTTCAAGCTCAAACGTTCATTGCTTGCCAGCTGAACCTATCTCACCTCAGGCTGGTTGCAGCAGTCGCTATCGGGCAGCACTCTGCTGCGTTCTCGCTGTCCGTACGGCATCAGAACTGCCATAGAGCAGATCCCTACCGTAACCCAAGCACAGGAGCTGAGCAGTTTCTCAGCAACAAGTGCTGTTCTTCAAAATGCCGTGGTACAGCGACCTGAGCGCACGCTTCAGGACCAGGGGTGTCAACTTCCACATCTCCCCTTGTGAAAAAGCTAAACCTTCTGCCGTAGTCAGGCAGGAAGGCTATAAACCAGTTTCTCTTTGATTCCAGGCAATCCTACTACACTAGCATCTCTGAAACAGCAGAAGAGGTAGCAGATATAAAACAAGTATTTCTCATTAGCTGTTTACAAAGATAGGATTCTTGAATGTACTTATACGGCTCCTCCTTGTAATTACTTGTTCATCTTGTCTTTGGCTCCTATTTGTAGGAAGTCCAAAGCTGCAGCATCAGAAGTGGGCACTTCAGAGCGCTTAATGACTACAAATTGCTTTTAAAAGGAGCATGTGATTCCAGTTTTCTATTATTTAACACCGCAAAATCACAGCGAGCGGTGCTACATGCTCCATCATCTCCAAGCACAAGCAGGATAACATCTAAAATGTACCTTCCTCCCACACTAATGTACAATCATTCGGATCAACACCAACAAGAGATGTTTTGATGCCGGTATCTGACTTGTCGCATTAAGAGCGGCTTCACCTAAGTAAATCCATCTCAAAGAAACATCCATTTACCTACCAGACCCCTTCACAGGCTCTCTACGTGGTCCTGCAGGGTGAGAATCAAACCCATTTCAGAGCAGCCCGATTTGCCTGCAGCCCTGGCCATCGCTGCAGTGCTAATTTTTGGGTTTGCCTTTCTCAATTCAAGACACTTGGGGAACGTTTCACAGGCATCATTCATTCAACAGAAGTCTCCCTCTAAACACACCCAGCCATCCCAAAAGCTTCTCTTTACCTTGCCACACAAGTAAATAATGTTGGTATCCGGATCGTAGAAGGGCAGCAGGACCCCATTGCTGGTGTCCATCTCATGAAGGGCTATTGGCTCCTCCATGTTTTTCTGGAAATAAAAAAAATGCCAGTGATGTTAACGAAGCTCTTGTTAACATAGGATCCGAATTATTACCGGTTCTTCATAGCTAGCAAACACACAGCGGTGTCTTCACCACCCTGGGGGATCCATGTGTTACAACAACAAATGCTGTAAATGTTCACAAGCTTTTTCATTCCCCAGGGACATTTTAATCACAAAACGCAATAAAAGCAGGACCCAAGAAAATTCACAAAGTCAAGGGAAAGAAGTGACATGGTCATGCTAGCGAGTGTCTTGTGCCAGCGTGATGGGATGGTTGCCGTCTTGCTCTGCATATATAACATACAGAACGAAGCGATCTTCGCACAGCCGCTCTGCTCTCTGGGTACATCTTCTCAGGCACTTCAAACGTGCAGCTCCCAGCTTCATGACTGCTCTTGGTGAGGCACAGATTGGTACAAGAGAACTCATCTCCTTTACGGAGTGACCATCCAGCCTAAATAACGGCAATACCTTCTGGCACAGGAAGCCTGCGTAGGAGCAGGCAGTAGATGGAAGAGGGAATACGCACAAGTATATGAACTATGAATTTAGTGGGCGACTGCAGGTCTGGGCTAGCAACTCAATGGATGTTACAACAGCAAAGCACTAACGGGACAGGAACCTACTGGATTCCAAAGGGCAAGCTGCCGTTCGCTCATGCGGCTGAAGCCAGTTGTGAAGATGTTTCCATCGGCGAGGAAAATGGCACGCATGGGCCTGGCTCCCTCGTGGGTCTTCTCTTTCTCCTGAAAGGGATTTACAGGTTAGCCTCTAGCAATGAACAGAAAAGTCCACCTGGTGGCGGCTTCTCTTTCAGCTGCACAGCATCGCTGGCAGGACACACTGCTCCGACCACACGCAGCGACATCCAGCTATCTCTGCCCGATGCTTGAGGGAAGAAACCAACTACTAAACTACAAAAGAAGTGGTCATTCCTGGCTCCTTTTGGCTTTGCCTATCAGACCCTTGCAAGGTTGAAGGAAGACTTCTTTGCAAGCTACAACACACAGGCAGGCTGCTAAATCTCCGCTTTGCATACGCAACTTTGGAACTGTAATTATACAAAAGGATTAGACTCCCGCAGGTTTTAAAACTGAGCCCTAAAATCCTAGTTCAAACACTAATCCCAATAAACCCAGACAAATCCTCCAACCACTGGTACCCCTCCTGTATTTTTTCCCTCACTTTGAAAAACACGGCTGAACATGGCATATACATCAAGCAAGAAGGTTCTTTCTGTCTATGCTCTTGCTAACTCTCTGCTGGACTGAAACCCAGTTGCTTCTTTAATTATCATGTGAACTTACGGCAACAATTTCTTGTTTCCTGGGGTCAATAACTCGAACTTTTTTGTCTTTGGAAGCTGTACAGATTAGGCTGCCGTTGCGATTCCAGCTCACATTGAAAATCATATCCACGTGCATGTCATCCAAGTTTATGAGGGCTTCACCTGTTCCCACATTCCAGATGATGATTGCATTATCGCAACCTAAAAAAGAAAACAACAGCTAAAAGTCACAACACTGGTGTACACAGAAAAAAAAGCCAGCAACAGGGAAGAAGGAATAAAACCTGCTGCAGCTGCAAAGCCTCAGGTCCTGTCCCTTAAACATGCTCTGTGCACCATCAGGTACACAGAGCCCCAGGCATCCCCACTCAAATACAGGCTCAGAGCAGGGACCAAGCGGCCAGAGGAGGCACAAAACTCCTCCCTTGAAAGCATCAAGCACCTTCTCGGGGGTGCTGTAGCTGTCCCAAACAAAGGCAGTTTATGTGGGAGTATCTGGGCAGCTGCCTGCAGGCTGGGGAGGGTGGAAGCGTGCCCCGGCCACTGCTATAGCAGGAGCTCTGCGGGAGCTCTTGGGTCTTGGCTCAGCTGCAGGACCACAGAGCAAGAGGTGCCAAGGGCAACGAGGCGACAACTTACAACTCTGTGTGTGAGAATACTGGCTGGCGGCCAGTCATTGCCTTCTCAGGTCAGAGAGATTTGTGGCAGAAAGAGTAAAAGTGGTGTGGATGGAATACAGGCAAGTGACAGCAAGAGGAACAGCAGAACAAAGAGAAAAAAGAACGCCAGGCAGGAAAAGCTGAGGTCAGCAGTTTCACAAGGACTACAACCATCAGGCGGGTGGCTTTGTTCAAGGACCAGACGGCAAGAACACAAAGAATAAAGCCTATGATACAATGACAGCAAAAAGAACAGGACTGGAGGACCAGGTAAGGGAAGGAAAGCACAATGTGTGACTGAGCAGTTTCTCCTAAGGCTCCAGAGGGGTAAAAAGATGGAATGAGGGAAAAGATAACAATCACTCTGAACTCCCAAGTGCATGAAAGATGTCTAGAACCAGTCTGTTGTCACCAGAAGGAACCCCCGGAGACTGTAGTGACCTGACAGCACCCCTTCTCCTCTGTGTTTCTCAGGAGTAATCCTGGCTGGACTGCCTGGACACACAGATCTTGCTGCTTGTTGAGTACAGGAGTCTGAGGAAGCTACCTATGAAAAATCACCACCTCCTTTTGTATGTTCTCACACCGGGTTTCATTACGGTAACTGCCACAAGGTCTGCCAAACCCAAATGTTTTTGGGGAAACCAGATCAAAAGCAAACTGGTACCTCAGAAGGCGTTTGTATCAACAGAAAACACAGAGCTCATCTGACAGTCCAGCTGAAAGGAAAGGATTGGCTTCTTGTCTTGGGCTCCAACCTAGAGGTCGTGCTATGGAAGCCTCAGAGAGTGCTAATGGATAACGACGTATCCATTTCACCTCCATAATGACGTGACTATTTTCCAATGGTCAAAAGAATCTCGTTGTATAGACCGTACTAGACAGACAAGATGACAATTTGGAAAATGCTGAAAATGAAAGCTTGTGGAAGGAAGAGCCAGATTCTGGGATACCTTGCAGGGATCAGTGAAAAGGAGAAACAGTTGGGCCTTTTACAAAAATGCATGAAAACAGGGATGAGGAGAGTGCAGACGTAAATAGTTATCAGCAGATGAAACGTGCAGATCAAATAAAGTCTGGAACAATTCTAATACTGTAATTCATGCCCCCAGACAATTTCCTGGTTCTGGTCCCTGTAAGCTGAAAATAATAAAAGGCCAAGATAAGGCGGGGGCTGCGAGCCACATGTCCCAGTGTTCCCAGGCACTGTCATTAGTCTTGTGATTCACTGGCCCTAAGCAGCTGGGAGAGGAAAGAAGGAAAAGGAGTCAACAAGCTCTTTGCCAAAATACCTGGTGTGCAAGGAAAAAACGAGGAAGAGATGCTTGTTGACCCTACAGCCCTGACGCACCGTACCTGCACTGAGCAGCACATTGCGTGCTGTCGGATGCCAAGCCACGATGCCGACTCTCTTGGAATGGCCTTCTAACACTACCACCGGCTCTGTCAGGGACAGGGTGAGTCCGTTCTCGGGAATCTGCCACACCTGGAAAGGGGAAAGGAAAAATGGTTAGCCAAGGGCCATCGCCTCTGAAGAGCACGTTACTCGTTTGCTTCCTGCATCCTGCGCCACGCCGCGGGACAGGTTTGAGCTGTCACTTCTCAATATAAACAGGAAGAGAAAATCGGGGAGGGAATCGTTCCCAGCCACCAATAAACCTTCGGCTGATCCGTGCCTAACATCCTTCCTAGCTCACGCTGCCAGCACATAACCATTGGCTACTCACACTGCAAACACCCTGTTATCGCTGCGACCAGAGATCCATCCGTCTCAGATGCTGCCTGACAAGATTCAGAAAAATTTGCCTTGCAGCTCAAATTCCATCTGAATGTGCTGCTGTCTTTGCAAATTATGCTTGTCCCTCGGAAGGATGATATTGCAGCCATACTGGTGCCTACTTTTTGTTTCTTTAGAAATACCGGCAATTAGTTTTCACATTATGTTTAGAGCCTCCTTTCAGATGCTGTTTAACTGGGGAAGAGCAGTTTGGTCCCGGCAAAAGTTAAAGCAACCCAAGCGAGCGTTGCAGAAACTACCTTCGAATGCAGCAAACTGCCTGTTTACTTCTTGCCTGCTTGGTTACACAACCCTTCTGTTGCAAGCACCTTTAGGAAAGTGCCATCAGGAGGAGCAACAGACCCCCAAGGACCGCAGAGCACTGGAATTCCAGCTGCGGAGTCAGAGCATGTTTATGCACCGAAGGAGGCAGCTTCTGCAACTGGCAGGGACCAGGGACGGGAGAGACAAAACCCATCACCCCACACCCCAAGGCAGGATCAGCCCTGCCAAAACTATTCACGCAATTCAGCACTGGACAATCATCTTTGAACTGAATTTCACCTACATATACGTATTAAAAAATTAAATAGAAAGCCCATCAGTAAGCAATTATAGCTCCCTATAGATAGGTGGCAGCATTAGAGCACATTTGCTTCGCCTTCTATTGTTTGCTTTTTCTGGAGTTAGAGAACAGGGCTTGCCAGACCCTGCCCACGATGCCCAAGCAAGCTGTCAGAGCCAGCAGATGCGAGCTGAGCAGATTTCGGAAGGGAGGCAGACAGACATGCGTAAGGGTGACATGGATTTTTGCGCTAATCCCAGTTCCTCCCTTCTTGCAGGGATGGCTGCTGCTTAAATAAAACCCACCGAGATGCAAGAATTCTCAGCACATGCCAGCTCACCTCTGAATAACCCTAAAACGATTTCACTTTTCACCGGTGCAGCTCTCAGCATCCCACGAGGAATGACCTGCGTTGGGCACGCCACCTCAGCAGAGAATTTCTCTGCAAGGGCTGAAAAATCTTTCTCTTCCTGCCTGATGGAACAGTGCTAGCAACAAGATGACACAAACCGAGGCTTTTAGCAGCAATCACATTTTAAAGATTGGGTTGCAAACTGGAGCTGTTCAGCCTGGAGGAGCAGGATGCATCCTGCTGGCTTCCAATCCAACACCAGCTTTGCTAGGGACTGCAGCCACTGCTCTGAGAGCTGTGCCAAGACACAACGTGCCTTGCAAATGGCTACAAATCATTTCACCTGCCCATTGCACGATAGAACTGGGTTACAGAGCCATCAGTTTTTATAGAAGCAGCTTTCTTCTTGCCAGTCAGGGGAATAACAACCTGACAGGAGCAACAGTTTAAAACACGCCTGCTGACAGGGGAACTTTAATGTCAGTCTGGCTCAAAGTGTCATAACTGTATGCAGGTCTCTCGGATGAACCCCTCGCAACTGCAAGCACTGGTGCAACGCTGCAGAAAATAGGTATTATCTAAACCAGTAAGAAAGTTGGAAAGAGAACATGAGGGCTGGGAGAGCCCAGCAGAAGAGGCAATGCAGGAGAGCCAGGGGCTCTGAAGCAGAGGTGTGGGAGGTGCCCAGCAGAGCATCAGGTGACACCAGTGCAGGGGTAGAGGATGCTCGACACGAGCAGCTCAGGTCCGACAGCTCTGCCTGGCAGGCAGATGCTGGGGCGCAGCTGACGTGGGGATAAGAAACAGAAAAAACCACCAAAACCACCTCTCCACTAGATGAAAAGGCCATGACAGCCAAGACTGACTTATGCAAGTTGATGTTACACCCAGGATTAAGCCCTTAAAACTGGCTGTGATGAACACAGCCATTTCATTCCCTGAGAGAAATGGTGTGATAAAGTGGCCTGCCCCAGCTCACTCAGCCTCCCTCCCCTTGTGAGGGAAGCTTTGAAAATTGCATTTATTCACAAAAAGACCCAGGAGCAGCACAAGCTCCTGGGCCAAGCGTGACCGGGGCCCCCCAGCCCCCCCCCCCCCCAAGATCCCCGTTTCTGATTTGCGCCACCTCAGCCAGCAGCGGTGCAGGGATCCTTCTGTGCAAGCGCAGCTTTGCAGTGAAGCAACTCACGTGCCAGCAAACTCCAGGACCAAGTTTAAACGTGAGCCAGTGAGTGCAGGGGGTGGGAGAGGAAAGGGAGGTATTAGAGGCAAAACACCAATGAAAAAGATTTTTTAAAAGCCTCTGGAGGACAGGTTTGGTTTTTTTCTTTAAGGGAAAGCCCCTATAGTTTACAGCAGCTGCGGACCAGCGTAATCCTCTGCAGATTACAGAAACTATTGACCTAATAAGCCTGCTTGGTATTGCAAAAAAGCCAAACCCTAGGAGCGTGAAAGGTCAGGGTTTGCTCCCCAGCGACCTGGCCCACTCATTCCTGCACAGGGTGGGGTGCCTCTCTTCAGCGTGGGATGAAATTAGGTTCACAGGGCAAAGTAAGGAACTTTCGCTTTGGATGCAGGACCCGGCCTGCTGAAGGTGAGGACTCGAGATGAGCGCACAAAGGAAACCTTAAAATACTGCAAGATTAACTGGACATCCATAACAGTTTGCCAGCAATCCCACTCAGGGGGATTTTTGGGTTGTTGGGGGGTTTTTTTTGGTTTTGTGTTTTGGTTTTTTTTAAGTTAACGTGGCTGGTTTGTTTGCGATGGAGGAAGTGAAGTCACGCCGTGGTGGCGTGCAGAGGTTTGGGTCTCAGAGGAAAAGCAGGAGGGAAAAGTTTTGCACAAACAGCACGTGAGAAAGAAAATAAAGCAAACTCCAGCACTTTTTTTATACCCTTTAAAGAGAATTAAAAACCGTCTCTTCTGGTTCTGCACCAACCCACAGAGAAGATTGAGGCAATTTCTAGAAACAACCTCAATTCCTATATTCACATTACGGGAGGAAACAACTGAGTCTGAGCCCTGAGTTTTTATCTACATCCCTGCTCTTGTATTGCTGCGGGAAAAGGCACTTGGTGCCTCAGGATTTTGTAGCTGTAAGACCTGCACAGCTAGCGGGTCCTGCTTCATCCTATCCCGGGACCACGTCTTCACTGTCTGCTAACAGGGTGGCGTCCCAGGTCATTGCAAGGGCTCTGGTTTAATTTTTAAAACAATTTGCTCAATCAAATGAACTCTACTCTGGCCATTACATGCAAACTCATTAGTATTCACTTTCTGATTAAGCCAATTTTCCGTATCTGAAAAAGGCTCTCTGATACCATCAACAAGCCTTTATATAATCAAAGATTTTCCAGCTGAATTAAAAAACCTGCAGTACATTACAGTCACTCAGCAGAATATCAGGCATGAATATTTAAGTAATTCCTTATTTGTTGGCACAAGAAAATCATTCTTCAAAGAGAACACCAGAAGAGGCCACAGAAGGTAGCTGCATGCCACGGGCTGCAAAGGAAACCTTTCTGAGAGCAATTCAGAGTGGAGGAGATGGGGGCTCCCCATCCCACTCTTCTGCAGAAGAAGAGAGGAATTTGGCAAAAAAGCCAACAAATGGGGCAGCGAGGCTGCTGCCATTACCTACATGGCATCGCTTGTCTGATTAGGGCTCTCGTGCTACACTGGACGTCTTCTGCAGAACTGGGAACAAGGCATAAAGAGGAAATACCAAAGCGCTTGCAGACTATAAGTATTTCATTCTATCTCGAACCACTTCAAGTGAGTTGCACTTGCCAACTCAAAAGGAATCTGTTGGCTTCACGCTCCAACTGGCAAGGGCAGGAGGGGCCCAGAGGCCAACGCGTGCCCCGAGAAATAGCCAGCGTGGGATGAAGGAAGAGCACTTGCTCCTCCACGAGCCTACGCTCCCACAGAGAAGAAAGCAGGCGGTGTTTTGGAGAGGTCCATTCTACTTTTTCCTCTGCCGGGATCAGACAGCGATGTGCTTTTACCCACCGCGACTTGCACAAAGGTGGTCTTGCAAGGGTGAGCTGTCCTAAGCATTGCCCCCGCCCCACCACCTTTTTCTTCTCCGCCTCCAAATTAATCTCTCAATGCATCAGATGTGACAGCAGAAGTAATGAGTGTACCACCTGAAACTCTCAGATCACACCTATCAAGTGCCTTTCATCAGACAAATCTCAACGCAGCTGCAGATAGTTAAACCTCTAAAGCTGTCCAAACTACAAAGCTAAGCGGTCTCAGAAAAAGATGTCTTCTTCCCAGTCCCTTACTTCAACCCCTAGTCTAATGATCTCAGATCCCATGCCTGTTCAAGGTTTATATGCAGCTCGCAGGGTATTTCCACCTTCTGCAAATCTATGAATTTCTATGAAAATGCTTCTAGCTTTTGAAAGGGCCAAGTTAACCTTCCTTGTGCAAAAGTTATGGCTGCAGGGAATATCGGCACTCGTCATCTTGGAGACATTGGTTAGATAGCATCTCAAAGCCATGCTCTCTCCCTCGATACACGTCTAGCTGGTGTCGATGAGATCTGTTGTGGCAGAGGGTAAGATCCTAAATCCTTGAGTGCCGAGGCACAGATGGTCTTTAAAAACATAAGGTATTTTTTTTTAAGAGCAGCTGGCACTTGTGTAGAAAGCTGCACGATTTCCTCCACCACATCACTTTTCCTCATTTCACGTTGGCTAATGAAGAGTTCAGAGCTGCTGAACAACCACATGGCCTTTACAGTAAGATGAGTTTACTCAGTGGCAGGCTGTTCAGGAAGCAGGACTCCGAAACCTTTACTGAAGAAAAGCAAAGAAAACAGGATGCGAAATTACCAGTGCCAAGACAGAAAAGCAATTAAAAATGGGGAAGCTCAGTAGATCATCCAGTTTGTTTCCAAATAGTCAGGGCCAGAGTTGTTCTTCACATACTCTAGCTCTGTCCAGCCCAGTTAACAACTGTCCCAAATGATTTGGGATACATCATTTCCCACCAGAAATTATGCGATACTTAACAAAAGATGCAACTTAAGTCTTTAGCGAGTCCTCTTTGCTTTCTCCATCGCTTCTTTGGGCACTTGGCTTCACAGCGTTTTAAACCTCCAGCTAACACGCACCCAACGTCTTCCAAATCATGGGTGGCACACGCTTGTTCCTCCAAGCACAGATAAGGGAAGTTCACCCCTCGCTTCAGTGTGTGCACGGAAGCGGCGACCGCAGAGCAGGCAACCAACCGTGAACCCACGCCCCACGGAGCTTGTTTGTGCAGTTGTAGGCTCGGATTCTCGCAGACAGTTTGTGTCTACATTAGGAGCATTTAGACAACTTGTAATTGAACACTGTTGGTTTTTCTACATAATTCAATCCCTCTGGAGCCTCACAACATACTTCTCATTGCGCTTGGATTAGAGACTTATTTTGCCTGCAGGAAGGCAGCTATGGACCTTAGCTTCGCCTGCTTCTGTCGATGCTCATGTTTCAGAGACCGTTCCTTCCAACTCACAGCCCTTCTGGATCCTGGTTTCTGGAGAAACATTCCTGCATCCTTCAAAGCTTAGTTCTAGCCCAGTAGTGAAGGTTACAAGCACAGAAGCTTGTTGTTTTGTTTAATATTAAATATAGTACATTTTGTTAACATGCTTCAGCTTCCAAGACTGAGAGATCACAGGCAAGAGCTGTCCCAGGATAAGCCTCTTGGGATGAATCCCCTCCCAAACATTTTAACGATGAACAGAAGCAAAGGAATTTATCTGACATGATCTATAATAAGATTTCAATATAACATTCAGCCTACAGCATTTCTAAATATGGCCAAAGATCACTGAAGTTATTTGGCATTATTTCATCCTACAAGGATTTTCTTTCACTTATTCTGCTGTGTTTGCATACGCTGGATTCCACATCCATCATGGATCAAGGTCGTCTATTGTTCAGTGGGCTCTGACTGAGGTAAAATAGGTCTCAGGACCAAGGTTGGCAGGTGCAGAATTTGGATTATTTTTTGTTTATTTAAAAAAAAAAACAACCACCTTTTGACATCTACCCACGACCTGCAGATATAGGAAAAAATGAAATCCTCACCCTTAAATCAAGGGCTGAAGCAATTCTGAAACCTGATGGCCTTGCTCCCCCCTCCAATCCTCACCTCTTCCCAACACACACCACTACATCCATTAGGATGTTTGAGGTAAGGAGCCATATCAGTCTTCTGCAAAGCACTACAAATCGAAACACCTTGCCACTGACTGGCACTCTTTCTTGTCTTTCCCCTTCCAAAACATCAGACAAATCCCCAGGGGAAGGCAAAATGGAAGAGCAACTGAAGACAAAGCCAGGAAGACACAGGCCAAGTCTGTTACTCAAAGTGCCATCTCAGTGCTGAAGAGATTCTTCTCAGAAGTCTGAGGTTGCACCTTCTCCAACATGATGTGAAAACAAAGTGCCACTTGTGAGAGTCCAAATTGTGCTGTTACGCAGGCAACAAAGCTAGCTCTGCTGGTTTTGCTCCAATTTTTAGCTAGGCCCTGCAGCCAAGATAGCATCATTTCTTAAGCTGAGACAAAACGCGATCTGCAGAATGCCCACGGCCACTCACATCAGCAAGGACTCTGCCCTCGCTGTCAGCACAGGAGATGTCTTTAGGCATTCAAGTGTCATTTGCAGCATTTTGAGCATGAAGCAAGACCCGTAAGACCAATTAAATACACTTACCATGACGGTGCAGTCCTCAGAGCCACTGGCGATGACCTGGTCATTATGAGGACACCAGTCTATGTCCAGCACTGGTCCTGTGTGGCCACACACTGTTGGGTAGGACTTGTCAATTCGGCCTGTCTGAAGGGGGGAAACAAGGAAGAGAGCTGTAATACACAGACAGCGCAGAGCACATCTCCCAGACTGGAGGAAGATGCTTCCTAATTCTCCATTAACTCTTTCAGTATTCACAATTCCAGGAAATTTGAATCATCTCACCTATCAGTAGAAGAAATGAACCAGCAACTCTTCTCCAGCACCAAGTAGCTGGAAACTCGCAATGGTGCAAGATGAGGGTTCAGAGGTTCAGCACGGGAGGGGCTTTGCTCCCCCTCAGATGCAGGGATGCTTTGCTGCCCGTATCGCAGCATTTGCTGTGATGCCATCCCTTTGTCCGCCCCCAGCGTTTCGGGAAGATGGCTCTGCTTGCATGGTGAAGCTCTGGTTTTGTCCATGCTTCACAATGGTAGCCAGCAACAGCTAAAATTTTAATTGAAGGGTGTTGCTGGTCATTGAATTTACCAAGTCTGCTTGTTTTCACCATAGAAGTATTTTGCTTAGATGGGGAGTTTTTAGGACACACTTGTGCAGAGTAAAATACTGTTTTCAGGAATAAATACTGCCAACACAGACTGCCACAGCCACCCACCCCTGATGCATACCTGCCTCTCTATGGCCGGAGGACCACGGCCACCAGCACGCTGCCAAAGTCAAGCTCACTACACACATCAGCTTTCCAAAAAAAACAAGCTAATGAGATGTTCCCATTTGAACTGAGACAAACCTAGGGATGCCAATGCAGTTACAAAGACACCAACTTTGCCAACTGGGTCTACATTTTGCTGATGAAGCTCCTTAAATATTCTGAAGCACCTGATCCCCCCCCAAACTGCTGATGCACCTAGTACCCCAGCTTCCTTTGCGTGAAAGGAAATAAAAACCACTCGAGCTACTCATTGTTATCTCTCTTGGCCAAGCCTTGCACACACGGGAAGCAGTATTTAAAATACTGAAGACACACAGCAGTGATGGCAGGGTGAGCAGGAGACTCCCGTGCTTCCAGGGCCAGAACCTGGGTCCCGGCTCTGAGGGGTTTTGTTTCCAGGGAATGCCATGATGGCCTTTTCACGAGCAATGGGAGAGGAGAGGTGGGAGGGAAAGGTCTGGGATGGGGTCATCTTCTTTCGTGTTTAAACATGCAGAAGAAATGGTTGGCATTTCACTTCTGCCGTTTGGTGATGACACTCCCCAACCTTGGAGGTTACATCTCTTAATATATGCCTCCTACCCATCTCCACGCGGAAGGCTGGTCCTATTCAACGCCGCCTTACGTACAAAGGATCAGAATAATGCTGGATACTGGCTTTTGAAGACTGCTGACCTGAAGACCTCTACTGGCAACAAAATGAGATATGGATCCAAACAGACTAAGTTACAGAAACAAAACAACCACTATTTCCTAAATGGCCAAATTCAGCTTTCAAAAAAAAGACCGTCTCAGTGATTCAAATGCTTCTGAAATTATTAAAAGCGAAAGTGTTGTAGATGAAAAGACGTAAACCAGACATTCAAAAATTAAAGTCTGTGTAATCCCTATTCCATAACGTGAAATAGGATTTAAAAAATTAATACACCCAGCTGACATGTATCGTGGTTTAATCCCAGGTGGCAACCAAGCCCCCCCTCCAGCCGCTCGCTCACTCCTCCCTGGTGGGAAGGGGGAGAGAATTAGAAGAGCAAAAGTGAGAAAACTTGTGGGTTGAGATAAAGGCAGTTTAAAGGGAAAGCAAAAGCCCCAGGTGCAAGCAAGGCAAGCCAAGGAATTCATTCCTTGCTTCCCATGGCAGGCGGGTGCTCAGCCATCCCCAGGACAGCCGGGCTGCATCATATAGTGGTGACTTGGGAAGACAAATGCCATCACTCTGAATGTCCCCCCCTTCCTTCTTCTTCCCCTATCTTTACGTGCTGAGCATGACGTCATATGGTGTGGGATACCCCTGGGGTCAGTTGGGGTCAGCTGTCCTGGCCGTGTCCCCTCCCAGCTCCTTGTGCCCCCCAGCCCCTCGCTGGCTGGAGGGGTGAGGAGCAGAAAAGGCTTTGGCTCTGTGTGAGCCCTGCTCAGCGGTAAGAAAAACATCCCTGGGTTATCACCACTGCTTCCAGCACAAATCCAAAACTACCTACTATGAAGAAAATTACCTCTATCCCAGCCAAAACCAGCACGCACGCATAGTCCATCCATTTTAATTTACCTAATTAAGAAAGAACCATACAGAGCATATGCACACAGACGTGTTTCAGAAATCACATTACAGGGCAAATACAAATGTAGACCTAAACCAAAAGAAAAAATACAGCTAATACTGCGAGATGTCAGTGACTACCTGTTCTTGCTCCTAGGCAGGGCTCTGAGGATTCCTCGAAGAGGAGCCTACGGTAATTATTTGCAGGCTGCACGAGTGCTTGTCAGTTTAGTTTAGAGTTTTTTCAGTAATTTATTACTGGAGGGAGGAAAAAAAAAAAAATTCAATTTGAACAAATTAAACCACAAACTTCACCCTTCAGTTTTGATCACGATGAACCTGAACAGCACCAGCAGCAGCAGCCAACTGCCTGTGACAGCCAGCTGACCGCAGGGACCAGGCAACCCCACCGCCTGCTTTTGATCACCTGAAACGAAGCTCATTTTTTATACCAGCTATCTGGTACTTCCATTAGCTCACTTAAATGGCAGCGCTCTGAGAGCAGCAAGGAAAACGAGGCAACGGAGGCTCCGTGTGGGCCCGTGGCAAGGAGCTCCCAATGCCCGAAAGCAGAAGGGACCGCACAGCCTCAGGCTTCCAAGTCCCACCAGGAAGCGAGTCCCCTTCCCGGGGCAGGTGAAGCAGCAAGCCAGAGTAAAGCTAGGATAAAACTAAAGTCTTGTCATCAAGCTGAGGAGCCCAAGATGGATGCACAGGCGCGGCTGTTCTGGACAAGGACAGCACACATTTCTCAGGCCAGAGCCATCTGGATCAAGAAGAAATTGCAGACGCACAAAGGGGAAGTTAAACCAAACCGAGCAGAAATATATTTGCACCATGTTACAGGTGAATAGATGCTTATCTGCATCATTTGTAAAGCACACCCTTTTCCTGCCTGGATCTGCAAAGTGACACTCAAAAACCCTTTCTAAAAGGGAACGGACAGAGTAAGGATGGGAAAATGAGACGTTACTTAGAAGCAGCAGTAGTAACTTCAAGCAACCTCAAGCATGTTTATTCATAAAAATTTACAAAAGCGAGCAAGCAGAGTACAAACAAGATGAAGAGATGTCACACTGCCGGCAAACACAACAGCTCCCCGGGCTCTGGCAGACGAAGACAACGCCAGGGGAGACACACAGCCTGGTGGCATCAGCTTCTGCACTCGGGCACAGCACTACTGCACTGGAGAACCAACACAGCTGCTCACCAGCATCCACAAAGAATCATAATATAAGAAGGGACCTTTGAAGATCATTTAGTCCAACCGCCTTGAAATGAGCACGGACATCTTCAACCTCATCAGGTTGCTCAGAGCCCCGTCCATCCTGACCTCAAATGTTTCCAGGGATGGGGCATCGGCCACCTCTCTGGGCAACCTGTGCCAGTGTGTTTCACCACCCTCATTGTACAAAATTTCTTGGAATCATAGAATCAAAAAATATGGAACGCTTCACGAATCTGCATGTCATCCTGGAGTGTTCCAACATTAGATTATGCCGAAGCGAGCACCAATCATGTCGAAACAGCAAAATGGGAATAAATAAGGACATAAATGGACAGAAGGGCTTCCTGGCTGAAAGGCTGCCGTGCTACTCGAAGCTGCGGTTGGGCTAGCAGAAGTCCAAACACTTTCGGAGAAGTTACTGACTTGTGGTCAGAAACACAAAACTGTCTTCACAGTGCAGAGGAAACCACGGTGCTTTCCTGAACGCATAACAAAAGGCAAGAGCTCTCCTCGGCAATGCTTCTAAGTGCACTTCATCTGCTCCATTTTAAAAAAACAAAAAAACAATCCCTTTTATTAGAAACCCTGACCCTTCAAAGGGGATCGGGGGGGGGGAGCTGTCAAAGGACGGTAACTCGTGTCACCACCCCAGGGCCTGACCCAGCAACACCTTCCCCTTAACCACGCAGCAGGGTAAGAAATAGCTGGTTTTAACCCAGATATGTTACTTTACCACCTCCATGCAGGCTACGCCGCAGGCTTCCTCCTCCCAGCAGTGTTCCCCTCTCCGGAGCAGGGGACCCCTACTCCTGGCATGGTGTGGAATTAGCTGTGCACAGAAGAGCTTTAAAAACAATATTTTGGGGGGCTTTGCCAAAAGGGAAAGACCAGGAAGCCTGCAGTAGGGCATGAAAAAAAAACCCGCCAGCCTGTAAAATTACCAAATTCAACGTTTCTAAACACAATTCCTTTTAAAAGGGACGCCTCCGCCACCAGAACATCACAAGGTTTTGCAACTTTGCTGCCAGATGGGTGCGTTTTCATGCTACCATAATGCTCCCAGGTTTGGGGATTTATTTATTTATTTTTAAAATGTAATCTTTTAATTAGTTCAGGATTTAAAATAAATCTCAAGTGCTGACACACAGCTTAAAATTAACTCGGTATGACTTCAAGAAATTAAATCCCTCTCATAATCCATTAGGACTCTGGTTGAGCAACACATCACAGTAACAATGTTTGAAACTCAGAGTTGTGTATTATAAAAATTTAGCCAAAAAAGGTGCATTTGAGGCTTAGTTATCAACAGGGTGGATGGCATTGTCTAGAAGCACCCTCAATATTCAGGTCCTTCAACGGATGGTAAGCTGACCTGACCAAATGAAATTTGTTTAGTGCTTTCATGTATCCCAGATCAGAAAAAAAATGACAGATGAGAAGAAAAAAAAAATTATTAAGTTCAGAAGGGACAGATAAGCGGCACAGGAAAACTGTTCCTAAAAGTGGTAGTTTTATGAATTAATTTGAGTGTCTCGCGATCGCTTCTCTGCCAGAAAAGGGCAATTGGTTGCAGGAAGCAGTTCATGGATTAATGGTAAAAATATCAGGGA